TTTCTCAAGAATTAACAATTCAATGAAATTGACTCAATGTAATGCGTCTGTGAGATTGCTGCAAACTGCCTTGACCAATCTGTTGCACGAAAATATGCATTTTCATTTTTTAGTAATTTGTTGTCTAATTGGAAACGTGTCTTTTGGTATAAAGCAAATCAGGAGCTATGAAATGCAATTTTTGGCTCCAAACAAGTAACTTATTGCAAACACTTACCTTGTTTTTTGTAAAGTAGATTATGAAATTCCTAATCACCGAACGCCATTTTATACTTTAATCACGCAGACTGAATAAAATACCTTTAATGAGTGAACATCCGGTTTGCCTTTCGATGATATATCAGGGGCATGCGGAAACTCATATTATCAACGTACTGGCTCTATTTATAATCCATCCGTTTGCCTAACGGAAAAACGTTACACCCTAAAAGCGTCATCAGCGCAATTTCTGAATTCAAAAATAGTTGTCAGTTCATTAAAAACTAGATCCCGGTCATATGCCTCAGTGCACGCATAATACTAACTCGGTTCCGTAGTTCAAAAAATGAAGCCTAAAATAAGAGTCTCAAAAATGAAAAGCAGTTTAACCCTTATAAGAACTAACAAAAAGACATTTAAGGCACTTTTTAGCATGTCATTCACTCTGCTACCAGCACGTTGTAAAGAAATGAAGAAGTGACTGTGTGCTTCATTTTGCTCTGCTAAATTTACGACAGTTTTGCCTTCTAACGTAATTGGTCACAAAACGGTCAAAGTGCCAATCGAATGGCAATGGTTGTTATGGCAACACTCCCCGTTTTGATAAAGTATTAAAACTTAAGCTCTACTTTAGAACTGAAATTAAAGGGTTTTAGGATGAAATGGTTTGCTTTATGCTCAGAAAGCTCACTCGTAATTGTCGATGCCGGCTCCAAAGTGGACGAGCATAGTGGAGGATTGAAGGTAACGACCGCAAGAGGCGGGGATGAGTACCCAGCGGGAGGTGCTTCCATCTGCCAAAAGGACACCGTAGCAGAGGAAGAAAGGGCCGCTGGAAATTCGGGCTATCCACAGAGGAGGAAAGGCAATTTCGCCCTTGATATCTGACCCTGGCATTACCATGGCATTTATTTCTGCCCTATTAAGTGTAAGGCCATCTGTGAAATTGTACCTTTGATGAACAGACCCGTGGTTCGACTTGTCCAAGTTTTTTGCTTCTGAACTATTCGTTTTGCACAGCGGATTGCAAAGGACTGATGTCGATTTTCCCAATTCTACTTCACTAGCGTGAGATCTTCCAATTGACTTTCCATGAGGCTCAACTGGAGGTTCTGTAAAAACGCCGTTAAAATGCTTAACCTTCAAATCAGCTACAAACGAATGCAATCCGCTGTTACTTGATTCTAGCAAGCTTTCTGTCAATGACTCCTTTTTCTTCTGCTTAGCAGTTGGGAGACTACTTGTAGATTCCAATGAAGCTTGCAGTGCCAGCTTTTTCTTCTTGGTTGTAAGATCTGCATTTGTTGTTTCGTTGAAGGGAGTGTCCTGCTTATCAATGGGGCTACATGGATTCAAATTCATTTCTGAATGACTAGCAATAACTTGACTGCTTATAGCATCAGTAATCACATCGACCGTCTTGTTGATGGATTCCTCAGTAATTGGAATATCAGTAATCGCTCGATCTGGGCTTTCCTTAATCTTATTTGTTTCAGGCTCTTCAGCGCTGTTGTAGTCAGCACATTGTAACCGATCAGTATCCAGAGGCCCTCCTGATGTTTTGTTAGTTCCTAGGACATCAGTACATTTTTTTGCGTCTAGGATCTCACCCTCCTTCAGACTAGTGGTTATTGTATTTGAGACGGTGCTGCTTGAAAAATCGACCACAGACTTTTCTTGATCAACTTCTGTTTTGTTGTAGGTGAAATTCGAAGATATTTCTCGGTACTCCACATCTGCCACAGTTGTAGAATGGATATTTTCCGACGCTGACACTGCCTCCACGTTCCTGGAGCCCTCACCAAGTTCTTCCACGTTTCTCTTCCCTACCTCGGCTGTTTCCTTGGGACAACTGAAATCTATTTTCGTGCACCTTATTTCAGTTTTCTCTAATGCATCAAGAGTAATATTTGTGGTGAATAAGTCGGCACCAGTATTCTCCACAGGTACTGTAGAATAGTTCCTTGCTGTCTGATTGATTAATTCCTTTTGATAGTGCGAAGCCGCTTTACAAACAATTTCACTTTCGTCAAAGCCATCGGAGCAGTCTGTAAAGCCATTGCAGATGGCTCTAACAGCCAAGCACGTATTGTCGCTGGGACAAAAGAATGGATATCCGAGAGGACAAAGGGTAGAAGTATCACCATAAGTTATATTGGTCAACCTGTCGGCGTGATTTTTTCTCCATTCGCAAGCAGCCACTGACTCATCTGAAAGTCCAATACATTCTTGAAGCCCATTGCACACATCACTCGGTGGCAAACATTTGGCTTCTTCCTGGCAATGAAATGTTTGATCGGGACACGAAGCATTGCTTACTAAACTGTCAACACATCCAGATTCACAATCACCCTCCTGGCAGTTGGTCTGTGCTGAAGAGATGCATAATGAAGTGCCTCCACCGCGCGGGAAAAATGTACCATTCTTGAGCAGCTGAATATGTAAACTTGTAATATTTGCCACACTACAAACATTCATTTCCTCATCCTCTCCATTCGGACACTGATTATGACCATCACAAATTTCAGCTGGTTGGATGCATACCGTTTCAGAGAAGTTAGGCGCATAAAAGTAGGGCTTACAGTACCAGCCAAATGTGGAATCGCTAGTTATACCACTGCAGACAGGTACTATTTGTTTTTCTGGCGGATCAAAAAATTCATAAGAGATATTTGCAAACATGTTTGCTTCAAATTCTGACCCAAACATAATTTGAATGCTTAGGTGGAGCGAAAGCAGTCTCACCTCCCGGTTTTTCACTGACCCACAATAAATGGCCGAATTGTTGTTACTGTCAGTAAGGATGACGTAGGCATCGCTTAAACAATCTTGACCATTACCAGGGAAGATAATTTCATGTAAAACAACTCTAAATAAAACAGAGTGACCAATGCCGGGTCTCACAGTCCATTTTGGAGGTCCACCAGACTCGAGCTTACCACGAGTTGAATTGTATTCAATATTTTTGGTGACAGGATCAGACAGCAAACGGTGACGAGGAAGTATCGCGGGAGCAACTGCTGCGACATGAAAGAGCGTAACCAAGACAAGAATCCGAAAATGCATAGGTGGATGGTGTGTATGTTCTCGCAAAGCGGATTCCCTCTCAGCGAGACCCACTATATTTTAT